GCTGCTAACCATTGAGAAGCTGAGTTGCAAGCAGTACTGGTAGCGTAAAAAGACCCAAGGTCAGAACACGTTCTGGATTATTTCCAAACAAGACATGCAAATAGATTATTTGAATAGATCGCTAGAATTTGTAAATTGTACCCAATGCTGAAGCTTGGTTGTCATGGTCATGAAAGATATGAACGCATGTCATGGTAATGTATTTCATCAAAACAGTTTGAATACTCTAAGCTAAGCTACCTCACACAACTTCACTAGAAATGATGGTTGAGATTGCAGACATTGATGGACAATAGACCCTAAACTCAGGTCTGCATTTTATTTGAAGTCATCACTCAGAAGACTGGTAACAATAATTAAGAATGTCAAAGAAGTCTACATAATTTACATCAAATCACTGAACATTGTGATAGTGTGTTTACACAGCAATTTTGCTCAGAACTTCATATGATCTTAGATTTTTTACACAAATTTACACAGTACTCAGAGACTTTTGCCAGTTTCACGTTGCAAGGAACACGCTGCAGACGCTTTGGTCTGGACTCTTCAGTGCTGTCGTGGCTGGTGGGCCCTTGCAGTACCTCCAGGGCTTGGGCCAAGAAGCCTTGCAAAGCCAGGAGCGGACACCAGCCTTGGCTGAGCTGTTAGAGATACCGCCAGTCTCCCATCACAACAAACTCCCCAATAACCAGGGAGTATAACTATGATAACAAATCAACAAGGGTCTTAGGGTCTTGGCTCAATTGATGTAACAAAACATCTGGGGATGAACTGACTAACATAAAATAGATCAATCAACAGCCAATGTTTTTTCTTGGGAAGACGTGGCCCCCAAAAAATGTAGGATTCACATGGATCAACCACCAAGATGTAGGCCCTTTCATATTATGCCATGTCAATGGCACGATTTGCCATGTTAAATCATGTTAGTGGGGAAACTGATGATCAACCATAAGGCCATTGAATAGGGTTTTCCACAAAAAATCAGACAAACCCACGTGGAATGAATGTGTAAGTACAGTAAGTCCTACTTCATATTTGGCTTCAGTGTCGCACAGACATGTTGATCGAAGCAGTATTCACACACCAGTATTTTGAAACGGGAGTTGCTGCAGATTTGAAGACAAAACATATAATTATGTGAAGTGATCGGTTCTTGCTTTGAATAGTAGAGTGGTCCCTCTGAGGCGGAGCTTCTGCGATGCATGGATGTCTTAGCTGAGAACTTTGGCAAGGAAAGCTTGAACTTCTTGTTGCAGAAGGCCTGGAAACACACAATATTTTACAGTTTCATGCACATTTGCGCTCCTATGTTTGATTGGTTCAGAGGTTAATTGTGCTTCATTTGATCAGTCATTATTAAGACACTTTCAAATGTCCACTGCCTTGAACATCTCTCTCTCTATTATTTCCCTAATAGTTCCCTATTGTTTCCCAATTAGTTCCCCTTTATTTCCCTTATATTGTCCCGTTTATTTCCCTATTATTGCCATCATAGTTCCCTATATATTATTTCCATAGTTATTTCCATATTATTTCCAATTTTGTTCCTATTATGTCCCTAATTATTTCCCTATTATACCACGATTTTTGTGAGTTAAATCTTCAAATTAAAGGCATGGCTTCACTTCGAAGATCCCAGGTGAAGGGACACCGAGAGGAGCGCTTGGCAGCGCTACTGGTGCTGCGGCAACTGGCAGCTGGTCCTCTTGCTGGCACAATAGTGGAAGGTGTGCAGCCGCTACTAGGCATTCGACATGACGCAAGTTTTTTTGGGTCCAGAGTTAGCAAGAAAGGATTGGAAACAGGGACACATCATGACATATCATAGTCGAAGAAAGTTTAGAAGTCAAACTTCCGACAATATGGACAGATGGAAAAGCAGAGGTGGGAAGAGTCAGATAAGAGAAGAGAAAAGAAGAGAAGAGAAGAAGAGAGAAGATCAGAGAAGAGAAAGAGTCAGGAGAAAGAAGATGCAGGTGCAAGAAAAGGTAGAAAAGTCGCGGTTTTACTGTTTTTTTCCAATGATTTGTGGCTCCAGAGGGTCGAAAAGTAGGCTCACTAAAGCGGCGGGTGGGACATGTGGCCAGATGAGGGATGAACCATTGCACTCCGTTGTGGCGCGAAGCACATTTCGAAGTCAAAAGTGCAAAAAACTGACGGGTTCTGAGCACTTTTGGACGTTCAGATGTCGTTTCGCGTAGCAGGCGCAAGGAATTGTGCACTCTGCCAAAAGTGAGCAAAACGTGAGGGTTTTGTAGCATTTCCAAAAAAACGATGGCAGGCGTGGGACATTTTGGGTGGCAGGCGCAGTACAAGAGACATGTTCATCAGAGATGTTAGGAGGTCAGGGCGCTGATTTCGTGAGAGGGGTTGCATTTTGGAGCATCAGGTCTTCAGTTTTGGGAAGATGATTTTGTGTGACAGGTGCAGCACTTCGTATGACCTGGCATTCCTGTTTCGCGGCGGGCGCAGTACTTTAGACAGATGGAATGGAAAAATTGCAAGACACATTGGTACAACTGCACTCAACTTTCCATTTTTGAAGGAAGTCTCGCAGAATTGCTGCGTTTTTGATGTTGTCAAGTTCAAAAATTGAGGAAGTCTCGCAGAATAGCATCGTTTTCAAGCTCGCAGATAGATAGATAGATAGATAGGTAGGTAGATAGGTAGGTAGATAGAGATAGATAGACAACTACAACTCAAACTACAACTACACTACACTACACTACACTTCAACACTGCTACGGCTACTGCTACGGCTACGGCTACGGCTACTGCTACTGCTACTGCTACTGCTGCTACTACTACTACTACTACTAAAACAAATACAAATACACATATACTACGCTACATTACACTACAATAAGTACACTACGCTACACTACACTACACTGCACTGCACTACACTACACTACACTACACTACACTAATTACATCTAATTATACTGCACGACACTAATTACACTACAACGACAACAACAACAACAGCAACAGCAACAACAACAACAACAGCAACAACAACAGCAACAACAACAACAAGTAGTAGTAGTAGTAGTAGGAGGACTACTGCTACTAGTATTACTGCTGCTGCTGCTGCTACTACTACTGCTGCTACTACTACTACCACCACCACCACAGCTGCAACTACAATTACAACTGCATTACATTCCACTACGCTACGCCAATTACACTGCAGTACGCTAGAACTACAAATACAGATGCAACTACACTACATTACACAACGCTACGCTACACTAATTACATTGCATTACGCTACAGCTACAACGACCACTGCAACTACAACGACAACTACCACTACATTACACTACGCTACACTACACTACACTAATTACACTACACTACACTACACTATATACACTAAACTACGCTACAACTACAACTACACTACACTAGACTACACTACACTGTACCACACTACAGTTAAAAAACACTACAGTACATTACACTACACTAATTACACCACACCACAACTACAACTGCAGCTGCAACTGGAACTACACTAATTACATTACAACTACAACTCCACTACACTACAACACACCAAACTTCATCCAGCAGTTTTGCTGAGGTGACCACTGCAACCATTGTAACCACTCCAAAAACACCACTCCGAACACCTTTCGGACCATCTGTGGATTCGCTCTGCCATCCGTGATTCACAACAACTATAGGTTTCCTATCTTTGAAACTTCCGCCACCACCTTGTGCGGCACTACTGGTATGCTATACATTCTCCCTCTCTCTTTCTCTCTATACTTGTATGTAGATATTTATATATATATAAATATGTTTATTTATATTTTTATTTACATATGTATTTTTACTAATTATATGTTTTTTTTTATATTGTATATTTAGACATATAACTCTCATGATGTTTTCTTCAACCCCCCAAGTGAAGCATTCGACAAGACACACCTGGAGCATGTTCGGTTGCAACGTTTTTTATACTCAAAAAATTGGCGCACATGGGTGCCAAACTGTGACCATCGAGTCACTGGACCAAGGCTTCTTTCTGACTCAGACGCAGCAGTTGGTGACTGGGCCCAACCTTGTAATCCTGGATTTGATGAAGATGACTTGTTATTTTCCCAACGGGACATCCACTACTTGGGGAATCTATAGGGACTATTTCTCATTTTTTTGGGTCAGAAAAACCTATGACTCTGCGGCTGAGCCAAACCAGCGGTGTACTAGGTACCGTTCCCAAGATCTTTTTAGGACAATGCCTTGCAGCCTTTTGATTCGTTTCCCCGGGTTGACTCGGCCAATGATTGAAACCCAAGGGTAAACCCAGACTCATCAGACCCTTGAGGATTGCCGTATCTTGCCGTTGTGGCTGTTGGAGCGAAGTCGCGCATGCAATTTTATCAATTTGAAGGACTAATTCAATTTGCCACAAAATGGGGGCTCATTCCTTGTTCCTGTGCTTGGAGGTTTGATGCTTGGAGAACTCCTGGTTGCATCACCGACACTCTTGGAGGCCATGGTTGGATGTTTTTTCCGGCCCAGGGGTAACGAACATGGCAGCAAAAACAACAATAATCAGAAGGTCACCAGATAGCTGTGTCTCAAATTGTTGATATTTTTTTTTTTCGTTGTTGTTAAAACCTTTTACTCATCAATATGAATCATCAGATTTGCTGAGAAAGGTTACTGGTGCAAGACAAGCTCATGTGCAAGCCTCAATTTGATAATTGTTTGTGTCCAGATGGACTGTCAGACTTATTCGCGGAGAACGCTACAATCAAGCATTATTTTCGACCGTTGACAGAAGGTTGGATAAAAGTGGATAAATGAATTGCAGGAAACATCTTGGAATCTTAAGCTACAGCTATCCAAGAGAGAAAGAGAGACACCTCTGACACTCCAAGGTCAACAATCTCATTGGTTTTGTTATCCGCCTGACAGCTCGGGCTCAGGCTGGACGGGGGTATGTCGCATTGATGCAAGCTACGATATCATGATAGAATATAGTTATCAGTCAGGTTATCAATTATCAAATATTATTCATGTAATTTCATATATATATATATAATATATATATACACATAATTATATATATATACATAATTATATATATAAATAATTATATATTATATAGTGGGGATCTATATATGTTTGTTGTTTGATATATACTATTCATCAAACATAGTGAAGGGTAACTAAAGTTATTAAAATTATCATGTTGTGATCCTAGATGACACACCAGTTTCCATGGCTTGGCAGGCCTCAGAAGGTGAACATGCTTCAGGTTACATCCCGAAGTTTGTGTCAAAGGCCGCAGCATGCCGCAGCACCAGTTGAAACTGCGGGCGCTCGAGTGAAGCCAGCGGTGAACGGAGCCTTGCTTTAAACGGAGCCTGCCAGGGATACTCTCACAATGATGCACCCAGTGCTGAAGAAGTGCGCAAAAGGGTCAAGTGCCGAGACTCATGAGACCACAGGTCACACTTTCAGAGAGTGTCAGGTTTTCCAAAGCCATTATGGAGATGTGACACCCGGCACTTGAGGCGGGCTCTGTTCTTGGGCAGCTTGCTGGAGCTTCCAGGCTGGTTTTTTTTCAGGGCCTCACGGCTGGAAGATGTCTTGTGGACGGATGTTTTCGGCACTGTGCAGGACCTCAACAAATCTTGTCTTGTGGCCGCTATTGTCAGCAACCTAGAATCAGAGTTTTGGTCCTGATAGTGAGACTTGAATTTTCACAGATTGTTCAAACCCCAAACATACTAGGATCTGACGATTTGACATGCATTGGCTCAAGTTTTAGATGAACTTGTTGTGCCCTAAGCAAACCACAGCCAGAAGTGGAATCCCATGCAATCCCTGAGGTTGAAAGCCTTGATCAATCCCTCCATGCTTTTGGGCTTGCCAGTGCTCTGCCGATGCGTGACACAGATGGTGCAGTCCAGACCTGAGATGTGCAAAAAATCAGGAGATGGGCCCCATTTTATATTGAAATGGGGGAGAGGATGATGATTGACCATGAGATGGAATGGGATGTTTCCAGCCAATTTTCAAACAGTGCCCCAGGTCAGAGAGGGATGCTGCGGAGCAGGGCGCAGTGTCCTCCGGAGGACCAGTATCACTTTTTTGTGAAAAGAATTGGTATTGGACAGCAATTACTAGAGCCAGAGATTTAAATAGAGTTAAGTTTTATAAATATGATGCTGATGAGAAGGATATGAGTAAGATAAGAGTAGAGACATATTTTAAGAATAAAAATATGAACTATGAAGAGCAAGATAAGAAAGCAGGTAGAGATGTAGAAGATGTGGGTTATGTTGATGTAGATTTTTTGATGAACCTGATGAATACCCAGTGTGAAAATTGTAATGAACCATTAGTGATAGATTTTGAAGATGGCAAGGTTTCATCAAATATTGGTTGCCAAAGGGTTAATAATGATATTGCGCATTTCAAGGATAATTGTATAGGCTTATGTGTTCAATGTAATTGTGCTTTTTCAAATAAAATATCATTATAAATATATGAGTAATAAGCATACTATTATTAGTGATATTTATTTTGATAGAAGTGGCTATGGAAGCAAGGCTACTACTTTGAAATATGCCAGAGAGAAAGATAAAACTATTACTATGAAAGATGTTGAATAATTTTTTAGAAAGAATGTTGAGATTAAGAGAAAGCAAAGGGGTCAGAACAGTTTTGTAGCCCCCCACAACAACCATACTTTTCAACTTGATTTGTTTTTCATTTCAAACAATGATATTACATTGGCTTCGCAGACATTGCGACTTGCAAAACAGCCGATGTTTTACGAACAGATTTGTATACGAGGAGATTGCTTGAATCGGAATGCTGAAGAGTCTGAATATCTCCTGAGTTGGTCTTGCAATGCAGGAATCCGCGAAGCCATTCAGAAATTTGGACAGTCAGCAGCTGGGCAAGAAAGATACAGATTGACTCAGATGGTGAAGGAAACGGCCAAGCCAGAGGTTTCAATCAAGATTCAAAAAGTTTGTATTGGTATGTTTTGTCTTATCAAGAGTGAAACGTGTGGCATACTGTGGGATAGCTTATTCCATGTTCCAGTGACGCAGCTTGGTTCTTTTGATTTGTGGCCAAGGAAGTCCTTCTGCTTTGGATGCTTATTTGTGCGTGCAGACCTCGGTCCATTTCAAGGATCTAGAGGATCCAATTTATGATTGTTGATATTTCTTGGGTACCCAACTTTCAACCAATACCCGGCTGTTCAAATTATAGTGTAGTTACTAGTACAACATCTACTAGTCTACGTGTGCTATGTTGTACTTTAATGACTTTAATGTTAGAAGTTAGGAGTTAGAAGCTATAGGCATTATAGGCATTACTGTATAAGCATGATAGGCATTGTGGAACACAGAAGTTGTGATTGTTGGCATTGTTGGAGCATTCCATGGAGCATTCCACAAGATCCCAACACATCGGTTGTGACTAAGGCACGCACCTACCGAACCACCTGGGATTGGCATCAGCATCCTCCGCTGCCTTGAATCCTTAGCTACTTTTCTTCATCCGGTTCTCGGGCAGATTTGGGAGGTGCAAAAAGTGCGTCGGAGTCACTGAGTGTGTCCAAGTTCTCTCAGGGGAAGTTGATTTATACTATTTATATGTCAAGATGTAAGAGGTGAAATTTCATGCGAAACATCCGAAGACCTGCTATGCCAGGCTCCATCAAAACGACTGCAGACATTGTGCGGTCATTTAGAGGCCCGTACTGAAATAGCCTGTGCATGGGCTTGTTTGAAATGCCCTGGTGGCTTTTGGAAGTTTTTCAGAAGAGCCTTTGGACCGCAATATTAGGAACTTTTAGGATTTGTTGGATTTACAGGTGTCAAAGAAGGCTCCTTCGTGTGTGTGTGTGTGCGCCTGCGTGCGTGCTTTGTGTTTGAGACTGATTCATCAAGAAAACCTGTGACCATTTATTCAACCAACCATGAAACTGAAGAGGTGGGAAATGGTGAGAATAAGTGAAGATGTATCAAGTCTGGATTCTAGTTACATACAGTTCTGCCTCCTGGACTCTGCCGTTGACTCGCCGTTTCTCTCAAACAGCTTTAGACACGAGCAGACACAAACAGTAGGAAGTGCTGTTTGCGTTTTGAAGCTCAAAGGAATAAGCATCAACTGCTCGTTCTTCCGCACAAGCCTTCACAAGGCCTACCCCACCCCTAGTGCACTAAAGCTTTTGGACTTGGCCAGTCTTTTGCGCAGCAGATTTGTTTATCCTGACATGAGGTGCAAAAGCTAAGGCTGACCGCTCGTGCATCATTTGCTAACCACCACAAGCCATGTAGAACTTACTTGAATGTCATAAATCATATAAAAACATATATATATATATATATGATCGCCAAAAAACATGACCCAGAAATACAGGCACTTTGAACAGGTCCTGTCGGGCAACCAGGTTCCTCCCAGCGCATGCCCGGCATGGCTTCGGAGATAGCATGGCTGCCCTTTTGTCCAAATGATCCAGTCACTTGGCACCTTCAGCGCGATTTTCGCCGCAATTTATGACCAAAATTTGACGGGGTAGATCATGGATCAAGGATAATCGGATAATCATGGATAGTCATGGGATGTTTGGGTTCCAAGTCTTTTTATTTTTTTTGGACAACCGACATATTTGCAATATATTGCAACAAACATATTTGCACTATATTGTTGCAATATGTTGCAATTATATCATCCACTTCAATTACTTCTCCTGAAATGGCCAACAGTGAGGAAACCAGCCAGCATCATGCAGGTCCAGGTGGATCACATTTCCATTAGGTCATTCTTGGAGGTTTATACTACCTGGCTATGACCCATTCTGGGAACCTCTATCAACTAACCAGGTGTTTTTTGGGACGGACATGGTTTGGAACACGACAACGTCAGGTAGTCATAGAGATCTTCAGCTACGGCGTGTTACAGTGTTTGAACTGCAGAGCCTTGGGCTTCTTTGAAGCCACTTGCTCTGTGTCTTGGCTCGAAAACCATTCAGAGTTGATGATCTTAGAGTATTCAACGAGCCCCAAAATCAAGATATTCATAATATTATTTAAATTATATATAAAGTATTCCAAAATATAATATATCTCAAATATGATCCACTCTTCTCCAAGTCTCTTTGCCAAGCTGCAAGAAGACCTGCTAAAGCGAGCTGACATTTGACTTAAGTCTCGAGGGTTTTTTCCTTCAATCAGTACTGACTAACGCACTTTGAAAGATATTTGCAGGATGAGCACACATGGGACCGACTAGGAAAACATTCTGGGTAATTACAGAACAAGATGAAAGCACAATCATATAGACATGTAGAGTAGAATCTTTTAATATTATATGATATTTTTGTATAGTAAACTGCACACACACACACGCACATCATTTTTAGCAATTGACGTGCTTGACCATCTTTGATCCCGCATCGGCCATCTCTCCAGCATGTCAGGCATGGCGACGCCAGATCTCTGAGAGTCAACTTTGGCCCAGTTTGTTGCTGAGAGAGCTACCGGTGGAATTATCGGAGGCAGGAAATCGCTGTTCACAGCTATGGCTGCTATGGCTGCTATGGCTTTGTCAGGACATGACCTTTGATGCAGAAGTGAAAACACTTCTTGCTGAACTCTTGGCCTCCAAATTGGAGCTTTGGAACCTTAGCTGCAGCGTTTCAAGCTCGCGTCTTGTTTCCAACTCTGTAATTAATGGCAATTGTGCAATGGAAGGAGTTTATGTCAAGCCCACTTGGAATGAGGAATGGCTTGGAAGTGTGAAGTGTTCGCATATGTTTGCATACTTCCAAACGTAGTAGTTCGCAGATTGCCAACTCGCATTTGCAGTGACCATTGAATGAAGAACCCATTGGTTGGCGCCGGTGTTTCGATATACCGCACCTGTTCTTGTCGAATTGTTTGGCTGCGCTGGTACCGAGGCGTGAAAGCACGTTTTTGGAGGACATACCAGGTTCAGTCCTGAATCGTGCTTTATACCAGCGAGAGATAGCTAGGGTTCATGGAAGAGCGGCAAATTACTTGATTTTAGTTGCACCATGTGGCCAGACGCGGACACTAGGACGTGTTGGAAAAAAGTAGGACTGCAGTAGGATGCATCACTTTGGCAGGAAACACGCTTTCAATAGCACGTCAGGTACACGTGGGATCTGAAGTGCAGGATGCCATATTCTTTGCATTTGTCTGTTGCTGATTTGGAGGTTTCATCCCCTGCATTCCACAGAAGATGTGCCTAGACGATAAGTTGCAGCTCTCAAAGTTGGCGCAGAAAGTTCGGCAGGTGCCGTTTGGGACCGACGGGACATGAAGGGACCTGTGGCATGTTGTGGCTTTAGGCCAGCAGGCAGGTCACAAACGAATTACGATCATCAGACAGAAGCATGACATAGTGTGACCTAGTATGACCCTAGTTTGCAAACATTCAGACATGTTCTGCTACATGTCGAGGACATGAGATCCATGCTTTGATATGCTTTGGCTTTCCACCTGGTTCAGAGGCTGTTTAGCATGTGCTGTGAGGCCAGGGATCGAGCCTCTAGAAATGCGAAGCCTGGGGTTCACTTCTACGGAGTGAAGTTGGTTCACATCTCGTGGCCAGATGCCGATGACTTGCTAAGCAATGCCATGGAATTTGACAACGAGGTTGCAGGACCTTGGCCTCTTGGACTCCGTGCATGCTTGCAAGTCAGGCCGGCCTCTGCAACGGCCTGTGCAATGGCCTGTGCAACTGGTGTCAAAACTGGTGATATATGTGTCAATCTTGGCTTGAATTTCTTTGAAAAGAACAATCATGATGGATTCATGATGGATTCATAGGATTTCATAGTATCATTTAGACATCATTTAGACATATTCAGACATTTCAGTCCGCCTGCGCTGCAAATCCCACCCTGCAGGTGGATTAGTGACCATATCCAGTTCAGAATACTCCCCTATGAGCTTGCGCACGCTGACATGATGGGCATTGGACCAATTCCACCTATCACGAAGACTCCGCAGGTTTTGACATTGGATTCATTTATCTTGCTTTAGTACCACTTTCCTATTTCTGTGCTGAAGCTGCGATTTCACAAGCGTTCTTTTTTGAATTGATATTCTTAATCATATTATATGTATAATACATATTATATTTTCACATATTTTTGCCACGGTTTCTGAGTGAGATTAAGAATATTAAGATCGATCAAGGATATGTGGGCAACTTGCGAGAAGCCGCTGGTTTGTCTGCGTGGCTCCTGTGTCAAAGCCGATGGACGTTGGTGGGATGCTCATGGAATTAGCGCTGCCCGCATGGGGCCAGGACTGCTGAGTGCAGCATTGCAGGAGGCTCGGGTCTTGAGAAACAGATTGAAGGATTGAAGCACCTTGAATCTCAATAATCATAGGGTTTTTGAGGATGGATCAAAACCTTTGGCATCTCTGTATTTGTTATTTATGAATTACATCTTCGAAGGTTTTGATCCATCCATGACGGTATCTAAAGGGAATCTGGTTGCCTTCGAGAAGATTGGCTCATACTTTTGGCAGGAACTCACCACAGCTGTCGCTCTAGACATGTTGAAGAAACACAACATCGTGCACTCAGCTTGGTACACGAGTCACTTTCTGTTTTTTTAGAGTAGATCTTCAATGTATTTCCATGAGGGGGTGATATTGTGCAGTGTCGAAAGGGTCAAAGTGGTGCATGTGAGTTGCTAGTGAATTGACAGGTTTGTGTTTTTTATTCATTTTTTGTCACCTATCCTCAGGGCTTGTGGTGCGTCATGGCTATGTCTGACCTCACCCATGCGCCCTCATCTGACAATTACGGGGGCTACAATTTTCTGAACGGTCTCGGCTTGGAAGCCATGTAGCAGCTGGGGAATCCAGGGGAATCCAGGGGAATCCAGGGGAATCCATAATCATGATGTTACCCTTCGTTAAATTAATCCCCTAAACCATTACCATAACCAGAGGGCGGTGATATGATGGCTAATCCATTCCACAACCAATTATAATTGATCTCAAAAGATGAGAACTAGGCCCAGAGCTGAATGGATGATGTTTTGGGGTTGTTAATGTCCTTCCCCTGCTGTCCATGGACACTAGTGTACCAAAGAGCAAGGTGTGAAGGCTACTCGGTAGCCCACACTCTGCATGAACACGATGCAATTAGAATCTGATAATCTGATAGGACAATCCGAGGGCCTCAGGTAGTCTTGCTTTTGATAGAAACACCCATTGGATTTTTCTGCGTTTTCCAAACCTGGGGCCACAGCAAGCGTTCAATTCTGGCTCATTTGCAACACGCCCGAAAGGGATTGCTTGTCCAGAGCACCTGAACGGTACTTGTACAGCTAAGTGCCGGTATCGTTTGCCAATCAGGCACTGCTCTGGATGTTGTCCATAGGATGCCAGAGATTCAATCCTCCCCTCGAAGATGTGGAGAGGTGAAGTCCAATGCGCTGAACACCTCTTTGTAAATTCTGAATTTAACAATAAAGCTTCCAGCTGCTTTGCGGACTGTTGGTATCAACGCATTGGTTTCCGTGCATTTTATTGCTCTTTTGGGAAATGCAGAGCTTTCCGCACCTGTCTTCGTGGCGAAATTGAAAAGAGGATGCAGGAATCAGGGTAAGCCCTTAAGCCCTTGTTGAGCCCAGTGGCAAATGAAACGGATGATGCGAGAACGCCTTTTTTTTGTCCAAAATATACACCCAAGGTTGGCCGATAGTTGTGGTTTACAGGAGGCAATGTCATCTGGGAAGCTGGAAGGAGACCTTTGGGAGACTTGGCAGATATTGGCACTTTCCCGAAATAGGTTCCCGTCTGCCTTCTGGATGATTGGCAGACTTTAACTGTTGTCTGGGACGTCAGATCCATGTACAGAACAAATGTCTCAGAGACTTTCAGAAGACGTCGTTCAAACCGACAGGGGCAATAGACTAAAGCAATGTACGGCACATTTGCACCTGTGTACCCAGGCTTTCACTCTTTGGAGTAGCATTCTACAAGTCAGCATGGCTTAATATCTCGTGATATCTCGTGATGCCCAAATCATCAAGGTCGAAACGAGTCCATATGAGTCCAGAAAGGTTAGTGTCCTGCGCTATGTCAAGCTGGTTGCAGCCGCGCATCTCAGGTGTCAGCCATGGCCCAAGAAATGTTTTTTTTCTTTCAGCCCTTGCGGACCACGACGACGCCCTGGCATTTCTTGGCTTTACCATTTTGATCATTTTGCACCGTTTCAGCATGTTTCAGCATGTGGGTATGGATCAATACCTATTAATACCATTTTTAGTGGGATGAACATCCATTTACCAGCTATTTTGATGTTCACCAGGGGTACAAGGTTTTGACACACTGCCATGTTTCAACATAGAGGAAGGACTTAGGACTACTTAGGACTGCTGTTGGGTACTCAATTGTCAACCAACCTTTCCAAGCAATGGTCGTGATGTTGCGATTGTTTGGAGGTATTTGAGACTGTTCAAGCATCTGATGTATAACCTGCCTCTAGCTTTCCTATCTTTGGAAAAACATATCTGAATAGGTATATCTGATATCTCAACGTTTGTCTCAATTGTAGAACGCATTCTACGAAGAGCTGTTGTCTTAGCAACGACCAAAAAACCAAACAGCACTTTCAGACATGTGTTGTAGGTTCGATATATCAGTAGCCGGATAGCGTCCAAAACACAATGGACTTGGACTTGCAATTGTGCTAGTGAAAAGATGAGAACAGTAGATAGTTAATTCATTATAATTCATTGATGATTTTCTGGAGCGCCTTCTACAGTAGCTTGAAGCATTTGTTCCGGGAAGACTATATTGTAATTACCCATAGGATCCATGTATGCTATATATGCATATATATATATATATGCTAACATTGGGGGTATATTGATGGTACATGTTACCATATATAGCAGCACCATGGATCCTATGGGTTAGATGATGTGCTTTGTTGCTCTGGCAACATCAGCTCCTGCCAGGACTTGCCTGGAAAACTCACGGAGATCCTTTGCGGCTTCCTGGTCGAGAAGGTGGGATCGATGGGATCGACAGGATCGACGGGATCGAGGGCTGAATGTCGAAGCATCTTGAAGTGCTCTTCTGTTGCACACGAAGTGCCTTTCCATATCTTTCCATGCTGAAGATTCTTCAGCTGAGAGTGACATAGAAAATCTCGAGATATCTTGAGAAGGTTTCGGCAAGTGTTGCCAGAACTCGTTGAAAATGCTGCTCCTCGGGCCTGCCCAAGATTTTGAATCCTACCATTGATTCGTCTTTTTATGGGTCTCGCAATCTGCGATTGAAAGATATTCACAAATCTGACCCAGATCTCGGAAGACCTTGGAAGTATGGTCCTTCCAATGTGGTGAGGTAAAGAAAGACCGCGAGAGCCCCATGGCAAAACCTTGGGATGTCGCAGGAGGCATCTGAGGGCTGCTTGGAGAGAGGAAGAGAGGGCGGGAGGTCTTAAAGCTGACATTCAGGCTTCTGGGAAGTTTTATGAAAATATGATTGAATTGTTTTCACATTTTATATAAAGACTTTTCAGGTATATATTCATCGAAATTATTCCACATGTTTCTATGATTGTCATTGATTATCATTTATTATATTTTTATATATCTATTTTTTCCATTCGAGATTCCACTGCAACGTGACCCGTGTCATCCTGTGTTTGCCTTGCCAGGAAGCTGTGATCTAACAGATGCACAACGTGCAGGAGTCTTCAACCTGGCAGGCTCAGTTTCGCTCAACATCGGTGCTGATCAAAATCTGATCAAAGTATGCCAAGCAGATCAACTCTGCATGCTTTGGCCGAAGGTATTTGCCTGCGCCATTCAGGCCCACCAGCAGTTTCAATTGCAGCTAATCATGTTCTCTTTTCAGAGGGGATGTGTTTCATGTGGTGTGCACATTTTAACCATCATGTTCCATCATGTTCCATCATGTTCCATCATTTTAACCATCATTTTAACCATCATTTTCCCATGATCAACGATCTTGCTCAACAGTGGCAAGCCTTGGCGCTCCAGGCAACTCGCAGAGAGCTGCTTCTACCTTGGAGTTGCTGTCGGAAGTCTCAGCCATTGCTGTCAACGGATGTGGCTTATGGTTGCTGAATGCCTTGCTGTTGGGTTATGGCAGTTATGGTTGGATGGTTGGTTGGATGGTTGGTTGATGTAGGTAATACAATCAATACATAATACTCATGTCATTCATGTCGCAAGATCAATGTCAGCACTGTGAAAGCTGCCGGAAACTCAACAGGGTGAGCCATGCAACAGATCTCGGGCGCACTTCTCGACGTGTCGGGGTTCACAGCTGCCAAAGCAGAAGTTTGGCCAAGTGTCGACAAGAGCTCGCAAGGTTCAGAGTGACATCTATGATTATCTGTGATTATCCATAGGATCCATGTATGGTATATATGCTAACATTGGGGGTATATTGATGGTAAATGTTACCATATATAGCATACATGGATCCTATGGGTTATCCATGATCATCTATGATATTCTATGATTATCTATGAATATCTAGGATTATTTAGGATCATCCATGATTAATTATCTATGGTACGAGTCATTATTTGATTGATATTGAATCATATCGATTGATATTTGAATATATTTGAATAATGTCAACCCCGGATTAACAAACCCCTTAGGCTGTTTAACTGGGGGGGTACAATTCTTGTAGCAGATTATTACTATTTGGGAGGAACCCCTACTCAACCAAGCAGGGTTCAAGTCACTGCTGTATATCTTCAAGTCAGGTTGTGCTGTAGCTGGGTTTATACATATGATTTATATTGATTTATCATGACATATCATGACTTAAACATGTTGCTACAAGGCCTTTGCTCGTGGACTTGGAGTTTGTGCGCAGGGATGCCCAAAAAAAAGAGGGCTCTCAGCAGAGATGACAAGAAGCACGTCATGCTGTGCCCAAGGTCGCGTCACTTGGAGCTTACTTTGACAGCCATTGCAAAAGCTGTTTGGATCCAAGCCTTTCTGAAGTGTCTCACCTTCAATTGTGCGGACTCGTCTGATCTTGAATGGCTATTATACTCTGAATGTGATTATAAGATATGGAAAGTGGTTCATGTTGCTTTGAGGTTCTGTGCACATTTCAGATATTCAGTATTCGTGCCATATTGTGCCACAGCTGACAGAAAAGGTCGTGCTTATACTGTAATACTATTCTAATAACCATCGCCTTCCAGAACTCAGCGTTGAGGCCAAACCAGATCCCACGCGACGCAGTGGTTTGCAAAGCTTTTTCGGAAAAACTTCAGCGGTACAGACAGCGGAGCAGCCGAACACTGAGACGCTGAGTATCTTCCGAGAGTTCATGACTCTTACATCATATTTATTGTCCATGGTATTCCACGACATTCCACCTCTCCACAGAACATTATGTTGTTGATTTTGTATGATTTTGTTACTTGGGATGCCATGCATCCCAAGTGTATGCGATTGCAGGACACGGATAGACCTGTGATATCTTGCTGCAAAGGCTCAGAGCGACACTACTCCTCTCGCTCGGTTTCTGCGTTCTGCCGGCCTGCGTTTTCACCATGATGCACAGACATGGAAAGACACTATTCTGTTATGGCCTGTCTATATGTTAAAGGTTCAGGTTATGCAATGTCAGAAGCTTTGAAAAACTCAGACACGGGGTCAAATTTCAATGATATATAGTATCATGTTATTATCCACCCAGCACCGAAGCTGGCAAAGATCACTGGTTTCTGACAGGCCATCAACACCCCTGGGCCAATGCTCTTGCAAGAGAAGGCCGGAAGCATCCTCTGGAATCTTTTGAGGACTCCTTAAGCCGAAGTGCACATGTTTAAATAATGTTGAAAGTTGCTTTAAGCTCAAGTCATGAAGCATGGACATGTTTGAGTTGTGGAGTATTAGTTACAGTAGCAAACAGTGGCAATCATCACAGAATCGGATAGCAAAAAAAAAGGACTGAATGCACAACAGGCACCGTTCAATACGTAGATTGTTTTACTCAACGACCAAAAATTACTCCTGCCATGGTTTCATAGTTTTTTTAGCCTTGCGTCTTCATTTTTCAAGGCCTGCGAACGCATTCTCAAGCCACTTCATCAGGCTGGATCAGGAGCTTGTCCCGAAAAAATTGTTCATTTATGTTGTGATGATTTGTAATTACTGACTGGAAGGTCGATGGTAGATGAAAACAAGCAAGATTTGGTGCCTTTTTCTTTGCACAAATGGGGTACTGCGGCATTTTCAGAGCATGCAGCGGATCGAAATCAGGCGTTGGTGCAAGAGAAGAGTCGAGACATTCTGCGGCATGCTGCATGAAGCCTAGCTAGCGGACTGCAGAGACAAAATGGTTTTAAATGGTTCAACATGGTTCAACATGGTTCAACATGGATTAAAATGGCACAATTTGGTATAATATGGGCACTATTGCTTGCTATTCATCACCATTCCATATGATGTTAACTTGTTAACTAGAAAATCTGTGAACATCTGGAATCTGGATCAATCTGGTCATTATTCCATGTCATTCTGCGGCAGAGCATGTGACTGCAACTTGACCAGCTGTGAACGTTTTGCAGCTCTGCCTAGGTCGATGCTGTCCGTTTGGTGGGTGATGCTTACCGCTGTCCACAAGAGAGGCGAATGGAGTGTGAAGCCTAGCCTGTCAATGTGGGATGGTTTGGGGTTCAAAGCCTCTCAACGATACCAATATAGACTCGGGGGAATGAACAGGTTCCACTCGTGCCCAATTGAAATAAATTACACATATCTCAACTATGATATGTTGTTGCCTCCAGATTCCGTAAATTCGTTGAATGACGCCGAACTGTGGCAATCACAACAATAAGACGAGGTGTGACCCTTTCTTGACCGACTGCGCCGAAGTCTGAAATCTCAGCTGTCAACCCATGTGTAGCCTATTTATTTGCACTGAGTGGATTACGCTTGAATACTGATGCCGATGCCGTTGAGGGGATTTCGGCAAAATAGGAAGTTGGGGGCAGCATGGAAAAAACTTAAAAAACAAAATTCATGGAAATTAGCATTTTAAAAACTCAAACTCAATCAAACTCAAAGTATAACAGTTTTTTTTGGGTAGGCGCATTCCTTCTGCGTGATTCACAACGATGGGATAGCATGGATAGCTGAAACGATTCCAAAAAAGTGATTGTCAAAACCCGCATACCCATAGCAATCGCAAGAAAACATGTTTCCGGTAATCGTAGCTTCACATCCGTCTTCGAGGTATCCCTGCCTTCGCTTCTCTCAGCACTCAGCGAGGATAGCCCGACTCGTGAGGCGATTTTCTTTCTTTTCTGAGTGGATCATATTATCCGAAGAAAGTACCAACGCTTCATTTTACCACATTTGTTACCCATGATTTAGTGGTAAATTGTCATGAATTGTCACTATGAGGGGGTGGAACAAGTCATTTTTGTCTTTCAAGGTACTCGTAGATCTCGTAGTATGTTTAACATGCATTGAATAGGTCTGGATAGATGAAAGCGCACATACTGGTGTAAGGCAGTTGCAGAGGTCAATTAGGTCGACGTGATCAAGCAATTTGTGTTGGTATTTTGTGCCAATTTCTCCATTTTGATATCCCCAACTGCCGCAATTCACAAGAATGGATCCGTGGGCCAAGTTTCACCATGCACTGCGGCAAGGTGCTCACCAAGTATCGCAACGATTTACTGGAGGTCTGGCCGGTGTGGGCGTCGATCTGCAGGATGAACTCATACCCCATAGGATCCATGTATGGTATATATGCTAACATTGGGGGTATATTGATGGTAAATGTTACCATATATAGCATACATGGATCCTATTATGGGTACTGACAGTTGTGAAGTTGTTTCGTGTCAATGCACATTGGCTTTGTCTCGTTTGTTCATCGTTTTTCTGCATCACCCCTTGCCAGAACCAGCAAAGCAAATCAGGCCTTGCTACCGCTGATCACTGTTCCGCAGGACCAGGACGTTGTTTTTGCTTGATCAAAGTGATATGAAGAATTCTGCAGGGCACCGATCACACATATACAATCATATACAGATACAACGTGATCATACTGACCACAAGAGGTGTACCAGAGGCCTGACGCACATCCCTTGGAGGATGCAGAAAAGATGGCGTCCTTTGATGAACTGCCCAAAGCCCAGTAGATGTTTGGCGTGGCATCTTTCGACCTCAACAGTTTTAACTTTTGGAGCTTCGCCTTATCAGTTCTAAGGCTTTGCCCATCTTTGGATGCCATCAGTCAGGATCTTGTCCTTTTGGTGTTGGTTTCTCTGCTTTTTGAGCAGGTTTAGGGATCAGTTCGATGCCCGGAGAAGCTGCAAAATACATGCCATGTGTGACACACCATCTCAATGTGCATCAGGATGGGCGGATCATCCATTATCATCCAACATCATCTAACTCGCAGTATCCAATCCCATAGGATCCATGTATGGTATATATGGTAACATTTACCATCAATATACCTTGGACCCTGGGTGGGCCTCTTTGTTAGAGGGTTTCTGTTTTTGGACTTTGGGATACCCCGAACTATTTATAAAATACCCTGAACATCCCCGAACTATTTATAAACTACCCCCCGAACTATTTATAAATTATTGAGAGGCTCACCCTGGGGATAACTAGTTCACACCTTTAATGAAGAATTCGGATATTTCGCCTATTATCTTAAGACCTTGGCCAATCCCCCTTGTGACCAACAATGATGGAAGGGTACAACTAGCAGAGAGTAACTTTCCAGCTTACAGGACAAAGATATATGGGGGACAGCATATACAGATACACCAGAAATTTGGATGGAACTTCAGATTCTTTAAGATCTTTTGATTGGGGCATAAGATCTTGTGATTGGGAAACCCACCATCCTTATGAATTTCTTACCTTATTACCGGTAATCTGTGGAAGAACTATTATTTTCCCTTGGGTTACCTTCTATTACCACATTTCCATTTACCAGCCAACAGTTTTGATGCCTTCAATTTGGTCATTGGCTTGCTTGAGGCACTCATGCTCGCCAACTTTCTTTTCTTGTGGGCCCAAGTCCAGGCCCCAGGCCCTATGACAGAGTAGGCTGCCACTGCTTCGGTGGGTAGCCATGGCTGATCGTGATGGTTCTGCAGCATCGCCAGTGCCATCCAGCAAGTGCAGTGAGACACACAGCGTGATTTAGTTCAGTTTCATTTTGGTGATTGAAGGCGCCTAGTTTTAGCGTCTTCACGCGCGTGTCGACATGGCATGGATTGACACAAATCAGATTGACATCAAACATGAGGCAGTGCTGATTTGGTGAAATGAGACATCGACTTTCATGTCGGATTTTTCCATGTTTGCATTAAATAGATTCACGTTGTTGTCTGTTTCTGGTATGACCCGTGACTTCCATCACTTGCCTGTATGACAATGTGATGAGTTTTTGTCCGTCTGAACTTAACAATGACCATCTTGAGTCTTGCTCTTGGTTACTCTTTCACCCTATGACTTCTGAGGACGGCAGGGCCGCGGTGTTTAGATTGGGCTTCCATTTTTTCAAAGACACTTGGCCTGGGGGACAAGAAGGATCGGCTTCCTTCCCGGTTTCCTGGCAACGCGTGAGGGTTTCAAAATGTGCTGTCCTGATGGGAGCAAGGATTTGAGTTTGAGGTTTTCTTCTATCCTCTAGGGTTGCTTTCTCCGTGGCATTTGATGCATGAGGTTGCGTGTCATCGAAGGATGCGCAGGAGCTGCTACTGGGACGTATTGCCTGCTCCTTGGCTCAGTTCAAGTAGCTTAGATCCAAGGTTTTCAGAAAGGAAGGCGCTTGTGACAAATATTGCATTTGATTTTAGATAGACAATAATAGACAAAAGGCCTGTCGAGCATATATAATATATCATGCGTATAAAGAATAATTATTTTTATTTCATTATATGGAATTTTTGTAGTACCATATTTTGAAATACTGTAAGATATTGTGCGCCGCCAATTTGTTTTGTGGCCATCAAACCGGCTGGATCTGGAATCACTGAGGCGTGATATCTCTGGATTGCTTGGGGGCAGCTACAAGACGGAAGCTTGCTTCGAAATCTCCGCTATGAAGCAGGAATTCATCAAACGCAACTACCCAGACGGCGGCGGCTGGTCTGCAAGAACACATGTCACCAATGAAGAAGGGTTTGGACTGATTGAGTTTTCAGACATGCGCGCTGATATGTTCACCATGCTGGCGTCAAGATTGCAGATCTTTTAAGTCACAAACCATTGAGTTCAAACGAAACTACAAGACCAGTCTGTTTGTACAATGCCACTCCGGCAGCTAAGTCCACCATTTATTTGGCGATATCAGTGGGCTGAATGTTGGGCATGGCACATGCCACATCCATGGACGGCAGTGCACGATTGGCACACCCCAGGCTTGGTAGATGTAGCAAACAATGCATTGAGTATGGAAATGGTGTTGTATGGCCACTTTATGTTTAATTCTGCATTAGGGTCCAGCCATCATGGATAACAAATTTGGCGACAGGTACGTCTGGCACAGGACGAGCCGAAAGAGCTGTTTCTTTTCGGGCCTCCTTGTCCTCCTTATTCTGTGCTCAACTGCAAGCGCAAGAGATCG